AACTGTGGCCACGGCCTCCCCGGACCCTCCCAGGCAGCCCCAGAAGTCGGAAGCCCACGCCCGGCTCGTTAGGCTGGGATCTGGCTCCTGACCGACCTGGACTGCATCCTGGGTCTGCGGGGTGCCTGGCTCCCTCTCTCCCTGTCTCCTGCTCTAATGAAAAAAACACACACTTTGAACAAAAATGAACTCCCACATCTGAAAAGAATGCCTTTAAAGAGCATGTCAAAATGAACAGAAATCGTTGATTCCAGAATGTTTACACCACCCCCTGAGGTCGGGCGGGGGGCCACCGTCACATTCTCCCTTTGTTGTCTGCAGAGGCACGGGCGTGCCAGAGTTGTGCAAGTCCATGGCACACGCTGCACACTGACTCACCCAGTCTCCAGGCACCAAACCAACCTTCCAGCTGGCTCTGGGCTGGCCCTGCAGTGGCCATGTCGGGCTCCCTGCCACCCTGCAGCCTGTGAAGCAGGCCCACCACAGAAAGCTTCGCTGGGCCATCAGGTCTGGTCCCAGAGGCATGGTCCCAGTCACATCGACACTGTCCTAACCCTGCCCCAGGGGTCACTGGCCCATGCCGGCTGCCCTCTCTGCTGCCTCCACCCTGGCTGGGGTACAGCTGGGGTTCCCCTGGGCTGGGCTGGGCTGGTCTTCTCTCAGAGACCCAGGAGAGCCGCTGCTTGGCCCGAGCATCTGCACCAGGCTTCCTAAGAGGACATCTGCCCTGCACCAGCTCTGGTCCGGGGTCTGGAAGGTGAGGATGGCGACAGTGCCTCCCAGCCGAGGATGCCGAAGAGGTGGGGCGATGGAGCCGGGAGGACGCGAAGGTTCGCAAACAGCCTCTCACTGCTCCGTGAAGGCGGACTGGCCGCTGCCCCATACCTGGGCTGCCCCGTTCCAGCATGGACGTCCACAGCCGGGGGAGCGGACGGGCCCAGCGCAACCTGACCGGCAGTGGGTGCAGCACCTTCTCCTCCCTGGGACGCTGCAGGGCTTACCATCAGGGTCCACGCGCCACCCTCCACCCAGTCCGCCCACCCGCCAGGCCTTCCCGGCTCTGCCTTCCCAGCAGCCCGTGCAGAGGGCCGCACACACACCATGACTCTGTTCCAAAGAGCAGCATTTCTGGGCCCAGCAGGTGACCTCGTGGTTAAGGCTTTGGACTCCCACGTGGCCGACCGTTGACCCAGTCCCGGACAGAGGCTTGAGACTCACGCTGGGCACCTGCCGACCAGGATCGCAGGAGGAGAATGGAGGAGGAGGGCTTGTGCGTGGCCCGTGTGGGGGTGAGTCCTTGCTCTCTGTCTGTCCGCACAGTGCATGTGCCCTATAGCCAAAGCTCTCTCTGAGGAAAAGAAAGGTAGCATTTCCACACTTACCCTGTCCTCGGTTTCGCCTGATAATCCTGTCTGATGATTTAAAAATATCAAATTAGAGCTTTTTCTGTGGCATATTACTCAGCTGTTATTATTTGCACTAACTAATCTTTTTTAAAGAACTGTTTGTTTTAGTTGTTATTCTTATATTTTAAAAAGAGAGAGAGGGGGAAAGCGCTAAAGCAGCGGCCTGTGTGAGTCCAGCACCTTGACCGCCACGCCGCCTGCCCGCCCCGCGTGGAGTAACCTCCCTGTCCTCAGAGCCCAGATTAGAGTCAGAGCTGACTGTGGCCACGGCTGGCTGGGCAGGGTGGAAGGCCCAGGGCAGACTGGGGCCTCTCTGAGGCTCACGCCGGGGGTGGCAGGACAGCTGTGTCTGACACTGTGATGGGGAGTTAGCTGGTGTGGCCGCCAGGGCACACAGGGTGGCAGCCCTGCCCAGAACAAAGACTGGGGGCAGGCCGGGGTGCAGCTAACCCACTGGGCCCACACGAGGGGGCAGGGCACCCACGTGCCTGTACCCCGGCCAGCTGAGCGGGGGCAGGTCGCATCGGGAGCCTGTCCCTCTCTCATGGAGGGTGAGTTAATACATTTCTGAACATCTAAGACTCACACTTTGGCCCAGAAAGCTCACCTCCTGCACACTGGCGGCCGAAGGCAGGGCCTAGAAGGGGCCACGCCACAGTCCCATAGCCCAGGGACACCTGTCGCCCACAGCCAAGGGGGAAGCAAACACGGCATTCCCCACGGGCGGCAGTTCGGCCCAGCAGGACAGACACATTCTGACATGCCTGGGACGAGCCTAGGGCTGACCCGAGGGGACACGCAGGACAGCACGCAGCCCCTCGCCTCCGCAGGTCCCGGGCGTCAGAGACGGGTGGGCCGGGGCAGGGGAGCCGGCAGCTAACGTGGGTTGGTTATTTACAAAGCAAGAACATTCCAGAGTGGATGGGGAGGGAGCTGCATGGAGGAGGAGGGGCTGCTGCCGCTGAGCTGTGCGGCGACAAGGCGGCCGGTGTCGTGTCGAGCATATTCACCACCGTTTAAATTAAAAGTAAAAATGCCAAAGTGGAAATTTTCCCCTCCGAGTAATGGAGAGCAAAAGGGAAGGGAGAGGCCTAGAGACCGTACTTCTGACAGGGCCCGCCGTGCCACCCCGCCGCGGCCTCCTGGGGCTGGGACTGCAGGGTGTACCCAGCAGGTGCCGCTGTGTGGACGCCCTCTGCAGTGCCCCTGTGGCCTGGCGTACGTGAACACATTTGAGGGACGCCAGGAGACTTTGGGCTTGCTGGTCAAACGTGGCTTCGTTGACGAATTTCTAACTGGTTCTAAATGAGTGTTCTTACAATGGGAAATGGTGTGTTTGCCATGAATGAATACGAATGTTTGGGTGACTCTAAGTGTCAGATAAATGAAAGCGAGTTATTCTAAATCCCTGCTTCTCCGGCTCAGCAGGAGCACAGTGCCTGTCTGAGGTCCGTGTGGAAATCCCACTCAGGGGCCCAGGAGCCCACCCTGGACGCCCCGAGGGTAGGGGGCAGTGAAGCCAACGAGGCCCACAGGGCTGCAGTGGGTCGGCAGCCCCCACCCCCGCTGCCCACTGACGCGTGACCTCGGCAGGCACCCCAGGTGGGCCCTAGAAGCCCCACGCTGCGGGGTGACAGGCACTCTGCCCCAAGGCCTGTGCGCTCAGCTCGGGGCCTTTGGAGCTGCACTAGATGGCATCACCCCAGGGTGGGCACCAGCTCTGCAGGGCCTGGCCGGGCAGCACCTGGGCCCTCTGCCCAGTGGCCCTCTGGTGGCCCTGGGAGAAAAGGTCCAGGAGTCAAACTGCCCTCGGAGAGGACCCCCCAAGAGGACGCCCCCAAGCCGCAGTGTGAACACAGCCCAGGGCCGGGGCCACGGCTTTGCTTTCACAGCCCCAGGAGCATTGCCCCCACACACGCAGTGACGAAACGTGCGGTTGTCTTTACTGAAGCACACCGTTGTACCCACACCAGATTCCTGCAGAGGCGCTGGGCTGCCACTGCCACTTCTCAAGGACCAGCACAGGGGAACGCAGGCGGTGTGCACGCACGGGGCGGGGGCTCGCAGAGGGGGAGCACTGAAGTCGCAGACCGTGACCGGCACTGCTCCTGGCCGGGCGACGGGCGGGCCTCGGTCTCTCCAGTCCATCACGTCGTCCTCTGGCCAGGGCCGGATAGGAGCAGCTACTCGGCAAGGAACAGCTGGAGTTTGCCATCCAGGGTGGCGGTGGCGAGCTGCGGTTAAGGAGCGCTCTGCTAGTGGGAGTCCTGCACCACGGCAGGGCCAGGTGTCTGCTCTCCTCCTTTGGGACTGTCCAGGTCATAGAGCGAAGTGCGCTCAAACAGTAAGCCGTACGTGCAAAGGTATTCTTACACTCGATGAATCCAGTCAGTATCTGAGAGCCCTGGCCAGAGCCGCTCAGTATACACCCAAGGAAAGGGCGCGAAGGACCCTGCCCAGGTCCGCACACTGTCACGCAATCACCAGCGCGTAAGGACGAACGGCAGGAGAGTCGGGGAAGACGGCACACAGGAGGGCCCCGCCGAGAGTTCTCTGGCAGTCTGCCCGCTGTGATCACTAAGAAACTCGGGAGTCTGCTGAAGGCTTCCAACCTCCAGGGGAAGGCTCAGGCTGTAAATGTGCTCATTTTGTCACCTCGGAGCAGCCCTCCCCTCCCCAGTTCTGCGGCTCACGAGCAGCAGCAGCCCACGCAGATGGACGGAGCCAGAGTGGGAGAGCACCTCTTCCCACGTGCCGGGCTCTGCCCCCTGGGGACTGACCTGGCCACAGAGGCTCAGACAAAGAGGCAGTGGCCGCCCACTCCTGCCGCGCTGCCAGCTCCAGGAGACGCTCCTCCCAGAGCACTGGAAGCTGATGCCCTCAACTTCCCAAACATCAAAGAATAAGACATTCAAAAGCAAAAACACACTCAACAGAAATTAGAAAGTGACTGTGTGCGCTGAAGAAAACACTCATGAAAATAACTGAAAAGACCTTACGCTTTCCTCCCAGCCTAGAGAGACAAGCAGCAATCACAGTAGGCACGGGAAAGCGCTGGCCGAGGTACCGCATTATCACGTCCAAACGCCCACTCTACAACATGTGTGTGAGCATGTGTGTGTGTGTATATATGTATGCATGTGCATATGTATTATGTACGTGTGCATATGTGTATATATGTATGTGTGTGCATGTGTGTGTGTTATCTCACAAGGAAACAATAACGTATGCTCCATGCAAAGGGAAAAAAAGTAAATCAACAGCACAGCCTCAGAAAAGACCTGACAGCGAACCTGCAACACAAAGACAAACAACTAGTTTCAAGATCCTCAAAGAATTAAAAAAGATGCAGATGCAGTTAAAAAAAAGTATATATAAACAAAACAAAAATAGCAATAAAGAGCTAGAAAATGTAAAATGCAAAAGGAATTCTAAAGCTAAGAAGTACAGTACTAAAATAAAAAACTAATGGAAGGGGACAGAGGCAGGTTTGAACAGGCAGAGAAAAACTAGCACACTTACAGATGAGACAATAGAAGTTATCAAATCTGAGGAACAGAAAGAAAAACAGATTCAAGAAAATAAACAGAGCCCAAGGGACCATCAGGGCACCATCCGGCGGACCAACATTGTAGGAATCTCAGAAGCGGAAGAGAGAGAAAGAAGCAAAGACAGTATTAGAAGAAATAATGGTTGAAAACACCCCAAATTCAATTAAAGATATGAACAGACACATTCAGAAAGCTAAATGAATTCTACAGAAGATGGACTCAAAGAACCACATAAACTTTTCAAGAGACAAAGAGTCCTAGAAATAGCGAGAGAATAGTGACTTGTCACATTCAAAGGGCTCTTACTGAAAGTGTCCAGATTTCTCACCACTGACGCTGGACTCCAGAGACATAAACCAATACACCCAAACAGCTAAAGGAACACCAGCAACCAAGAACCACATACCCAGCAAAGCTGTCTTTCCAAGTGAGGGGGTGGGGCCAGCAGGTGGTGTGATGGTTAGGGTGCTGGAGTCCCACAGGTTTACCACAGTTCAAATCTCGGACCTGGTGGCTTGAGTGCGTACATACATACTCAAAGCCCCAGGGAGAGAACGGAGGAGGAGGGATTGCAGTGTGGCCATCCCCCCAGAGGTGATTTGTCACTTTCCCTCTCACACTCACTCTCTTTCTGGTGAGTGCATGCACTCTATGGCAAAAACCTAAAAAAAAAGCAGAAAACAGTGAGAGGGTAATTCAACAAAAGCTCAGAGTTCCACTAGTTCAATACCTGTCCTGCAAGAAATGCTGAAAGGTGCCATAAAAGGACACGGACAACACCTCAGAGCCACGCAAAGAGACAAAGATCTCAACGAAAGCACATATGTAGGCAGCCACTGAAGCTAGTGGTGTTGCTACAACACTCGGTGCCTCTGCTTTTGTTTTTATGTAATAAAAATAACTAATACGTTTTTAAATAATTTTCTTAGATTTATTTATTTAATTTTATTTGCTATTGCTATTTTTGTTACAGGGTACAGTACATACGCTCACTAGAGAGAGAGAGAGAACAAGCCTCCAGGTCTGAGATGCAAACTATGGCCAGCCATGTGGGAGTCCAGCATCTTAACCAGCACACCACCTGCTGGCCACAGAAATAATACATTTTAAAAATCATTACTTTGTTGGGAACCAGCAGTTAGCGTAATGGCTATGTCGCTGGACTCCCACGTAGTCGACCGCGGTTCGCGTTCCGGACCCGGTGGCTTAAAACTCACGCCGGGCGCGTGTGCGTGCATGCCCAAGATCCCGAGAGGAGAATGGAGGAGAAGGGATTGCGGCGTGACCATCCCCCCTGGGGGGTGATTTCTCGCTTTCTGTCTCTATGTCTCTGTCTGTCTGGCGAGCGCACATGCCCTATAGCAAAAACCTCTCCCAAAAAAAAAAAAATCATTACTTTGTTTTAAGGAACACAATGAATAAAGATGTACTTTTGTGACATCGGTAGCTGACAGAGATGGGTACAGAAATAGAAGGAATACAGTGTTTGCATGTTATTGAAGTCAAAATAGTATCAATTCAAATTACACCGTTATGACTTCAGGAGTTAAATGTAATCCCCTTGGTAACCACAAAGAAAATACATATAGACTATACACAAAAGAAAATGAGAAATGAAACATTTCACTACAAAAATCAGCTAAACACAAAAGAAGACAGTAATTTAGAAACTGAGAGACAAAAAACTGTAAGGTATAAAGGCCAGCAGGTGGTATAGTGGTTAAAGTCGCTGGACTCCCACATGGCTGACCACAGTTCGAGTCCTGGACCTGGTGCCTAGTGCTCTCGCTCTCTCTCTTTCTCTCTCTCATCAAACTGGAAAATAAGAATAATAATAAATAAAGTTAAAAATACTTATTTAAAGAAAAATCTGTAAAGTATAGAAAAATAAACATGAAAATAATAGGAGTAAGTCTCTCCTTACTAGTAATTACACTAAATGTAAATAGCTTATATTCTCCAATGAACAAAACAGAGATTCGCAGAATGGATGAAAGTGTGAGATTCAACTATTTGCACATATCACCCAAACTCATTTTAGATGCCAAGTCACAAATGAGTTTAAACTGAAAGGATAAAAAAATATACTCCATGAAAATAGTAAGCAAAATTGAGCAGGGGTAGCTACACAAATACTAGGGGAAGAAAATAGACTTTAAATCAGAAAGTAAGAGATAAATACGATTATAAGTGAAAGATAAAATACATTATAAAGATTAACTATTGGGTCATCAGAAATATTTACACCCTAATCATCAGAATGCATGAAGCAGAAACTGACAAGATTGAAGGGAGAAATAAGCAGTTTTACATAAATAGTTGGAGATTTCTATACCCCATCAATAGTGGGTATAGAGTCAGGGAGTAATCAAGGGTAATCAGGGAGTAGACAGGTGAGGACGTAGGAGGGCTTGGATAGCACAGCCATGGACCAGGTCGGGTGGACACATA